ACTATCAATATGAAATTGAGCATCGGTCAAATAAAGGCATTCACATGTTGATGCGCTTAGCAGGATAACTGGTGTTATGATTATTGAGGAAAATTCTTTTGAAGATAATCTTTCCAAAACCAAGATCCATTTATTTCAGACATTAAAAATAAACTTACAAATGAGGAGAGCAAGGATTTTCAAAATAACATAATGATTTAGTGTACAAAAAACTCAAGGATTCTAAAAAAGTTTATTTTATGTTCCGTGTAGTATGGAAAATCAAGAAATAGCTAACTGTCATGAGAATTTAGGCACTTGGGTTTTGATAAAACTTGTGAGTATTTGAGTCGAGTGTATTGGTTCCCAAATTACAGACCGAAAATTAAAAGTTTTATTCAAAATTGCATTAAATGCATAACCTACTCTTCTATGTTAGGAAAAGGTCAGGGCCAACTTCAATATACCAAAAGGTGAGAAACCCTCTAATACTATACATGTGGACCACTATGGGCCCTTAGAGTAGACCCCTACAGCCAAGCGTTTCGTATTTGAATTGATAGACGCTTTTACTAAATTTGTAAAATTATAGAGTGTTGAAACTACCAGAACAATTGAAGTCATTCACAAATTAGGGGAAGAAAACAATATTGACTACGTTTATTTCACGCGTTGTATCCGGATACTAAGTGGATTAAGGATTATTAATCCATATTCGTTTATTTCACAACTATTAAATGGATTAAGATGAGTGCTAATCCTTTCTTAAGCCTTGTTAAAAGCGCAAGCGCAAATTGTTTTGTGTCTAACTTGATTAAAGGCAATCCTGATAAACTTTCTAGGTTTTTATTAGATTTAGGAAGGGTTTTATATAATTTTATCTTGAAGTTAGCAACAAACTTCTTGCATCCGAAATTTGAGGTTTTTATTTCACATTTGAGATAGTCCATTTTAATTCCAATCCTACAGATTTGGAGGATTGGCTTAAGTACTCCGATCCAGATAAACTCTCTAATCCTGGGTGTTTATTTCAATCCACTTAGTATCCGGATAGAACGCGTGAAATAAACGTAGTCAATATTCATATAAAAATTGCAGCAGATTCACCAAAATCTAATAGACAAATTAAGCGGACTAATAGAGACCTCACACCTATTTTAGCAAAGTTAACCGAGTAAAAAAAATAAATGGGATAAGCAGTTGCCTATAGTAGAATTTGCTATCAATAATTCCTATTGTAGATCTATAGCAACGTCCCTAGGAAAACTTTTATCTGGTATTCATCAAATAGAGCCAAATGATAACTTAAGGACTTATGTTGAAAATGCAAATAAAGAGGTTATAAAATTAACTGACTTGAGACAAAAATCACAAACACAGAACGAGGAGGTATACAAGGAATATTTTGACAAGCGACATCGTCCCCCACATAAATATTCTATTGGAGATTATGTTATGATTAGGAATCTAGATGTGACACCTAGAATCAACAAAAAATTGTTGCCTGAATTGCGAGGGCCTTATGAAGTAGAAAAAGATGCTCGATAATGACAGGTATTTAGTAATTGATGTATGTGGAAAACTTTCAGGTTACACAAAAAACTTTTGAAGGTATTTGTTCTCCGGATAATATGCAGATGTGGTTGAAGTCTGATTGATGTTTTGTTTCTTTATTTTTTATGATTTTAGTATTTCATGATTAACCTTGTGTTAATCCTACTTTATGAATTTCATACTTTATGATGCTGTGCTTTATAATAATAATAATAATAATAATGCGCCATTATTTTTAAACTTGGTGAAGGGCAGCATAGCTGTTTGCTTAACCAAGCATTCATAATAAGTTACAAGTTCAAAACTTACAGAATATACATTAAATAATAAATACCTATTCCAAAAAATGTCTCAAAGTGCAACGTCGTATTAAATAATCAAATATAGTAGGTAAAGAAAATATGCATAAGTTTCTGTGGTATAGCCACGTTACAAGTTACAAAACATACTATTTACAAACTACAAAAAACTAAGAGTTAAGTATTCCAATAATTTAACAATATTGTACAATGCATTTGATACAAAACAATTAAGCAACCAATACATCAGGGCAATGCGATAAATCTCAGCTTTTATTTAACAGATAGCCCTTAAATTTCTTTTTAAAGGTTTCACATGCAATGCTCAAAAATCCGTTACGCAATTCAGAGTTGAACAATTTGGGAGCCACGTAAGAAAATGACCTTTCAAATAACGCTGTTCGGTGTCGCGGTATGTTTAGTAGGCTTCTGTGGCGAGTTTCACGGCTGTGAGTAGCAGATCTAAAAGTAAGTTTTTGACGCAGATATTGTGGAGTTCCGCTTGTAAGTATTTTATGCAGGTGACAGGATAAATGGAGCTTCAATCGATCTTGCATATTAAGCCATTTTAAATCCTTCAATTTATGGCTCACATGGTCCCTTGGTTTTAGGTCAAAAATGAAGCGAATACACGAATTTTGAATTCTTTGCAATCTCCGTTTAGACTGAAGATCAAGACAAGGGCCATAAACAACGTCAGCATAATTACAGTGTGAGAGAACGAGAGACTCACTTAATTGCCTTTTCAAAGATGTACTCAAAATATTTTTACTTTTATATAGGTTTCTTAGAGAAATAATTGCCCTTTGAACCACTTTACTGACTTGGTTTTTGAATCTCAGAGCTGTGTCAAACAGAATACCCAGATTTTTGTACTCATTCACCGCGGGGATATCCACATCCGACATAGTGAGCTTAACGTTTTCGCTTACCCAGTTTCTGTTGGGTCAGAAAAACATAACTGCAGACTTAGAGGGGTTAATTTTCAAGCCATTTTGAGTGGAGTAATGAAAGATTTCACCTAAGCAAGAATTTATTCTTTGAGTGGCCACAGCCGTTTCATTGGGGGTGAAGCTCATGCGTAACTGAGTGTCATCCGCGTACCGCTGCATGTTACATTCCGCTACTCGTTTTTCCATATCAAATGTATATATTAGAAATAATAGGGGTCCCAAGATTGAACCCTGTGGCACTCCTATACTGATGGTTCTGGAATCGGACATTTCGCCGTCGACATTTACGCGCTGGGCTCGATCAGAAAGATATTCTCGAAAGAAGGCTACCGTTTGGTCGGAAAATCCGTAATATTGAAGCTTCGCACATATCAGCCGATGGTTTAAAGTGTCAAACGCTTTACTGTAATCTAGTAAAACCAAGGCGAAGGTCTCTCCTTGATCTGCAGCTGTGATGATATCATCAAGAACTTTGAGTAATACAGATGCCGTACCGTAACCCTTGCGAAAGCCTGATTGGGAGTCGGGAAATAGATCATTAGATAGTAAAAAGTTAACTATTTGGGTATTGATTATTTTTTCAAACACCTTAGAGACTACCGACAGTAAGCTGATGGGTCTCAACTCAGATATTGCGCTTATGTTAGCTATCTTTGGTAGGGGCAAGACAATAGCAGTCTTCCATTGTTCGGGAAAAACAGAATTAACTATACAGTAATTAAAAATATGTGTTAGAAACGGGATAATTACAGGGCAGCACAATTTAATCATTTCTAGTGAAAGCCCATCGGGTCCTACAGCGTTCGATTTTACATGTCTTAGTGCTTCCTCCGTGTCGGCGTCCTTGATCTGTTGCAACGAAAATGTATTTCCAGATATGCGATTATTTTTATAAAAAAGTATTGTATCCTCTTCTACAGGGGGCGCCACACTTTCCACCGACTCAATGAAAAAATTGTTTATGTTATGTGGATTTCTTAATGTGCTAGGTATTTTATAATTATTTTTTGACTTGTGATATATATTCATTTCAGCAATAGTTTTCCAAATGTATTTTGGTTGCTTAGTCTGAACCACGTTCTCGATATAAGCCTTTTTTTCATTCCGAATCGCCTGAGTGAATAAATTCCGCATTTCTTTATATGCTGTCCAGTCCGCAATAGAACCAGATTTTTTATATTTGGTTAATAGTTTATTACGATATTTTTTCATAATTTTTAAAGTGTCAGTGAACCAGGGCGATTTTGGTCGCGTACGCGAGCACTCGTAAGGGGAGCGTGCACATCAAAAAGCGACAAAACTATATTGTTCAGTAAGCTGACTTTTTCACAGACTGTAGGAACATCAAATATTGAAGCCCAATTCTTATTTTTTAAATCAGTTTCAAAATGCACACGATTGAAATATTTGAAGTTCCGATATTTCACTATTTTTTCAGGCCTTTCAGGCAATTTACAATTTAGTGTACAATAAACTAGTTGATGATCCGTTATATCGTGCATATCATAATGCACCACATCGCCTATAATTAAATTCTTATTAGATATCGCGATGATGTCTATCAAGCTATGCGCAGTACTTACTGTACGAGTCGGACGTGCCACAACCTGAGTGAAGCTATAAGCAGAAAGAAAATTATCAAGTAGGTTTGTATTATTATTCTGACACAATAAATTAATATTTAAATCGCCCATTATTAAAATTTCATCAACTAAGGGTATTAGTTTTGCCATGGAACTTTCCAAACAATTAATTGTTTCAAGAGTGTTACGACGCGGAGGCCTGTATAAAACTCCCAACCCAAAATCAATTTTATTAATTTTGCAAGTTACCCAAATCTGCTCGAGTGAGTCGCTACGTTCCCCAAAATCGAACAATTTTACCTTCAAGTCACTTCTAATGTAAATTCCGACGCCACCGCCTCGATTTTCTCGGTCCACTCTGTAAAAATTGAATCCGTCGATGCGTACCTCGGAGTCCGGCAGCACCTGCGAGAGCCAAGTCTCAGTGACCCCCAAAATATCCAACCGTAAACTGATCATTACATTTCTTATCTCATTTATACTAGGTAATAAGGAGCGCACATTTACATGTGCAACCCTCAAATTGTTTTTATCTAGAACAGGCATCCTGATAATAGAGAAAAAATAAACTACCTAAAAACCTAAAAATAAATAAAAATAAAATAAAATAAATGCAAAAACGCAAAGCTAGATTACAGTAGCATTTGACTTAAAGTGTTAGAATTTTTAATCAATATTGCATTTTCACCGTCCTGTTTACGCGCGAAAACTGTACCATTTTTGTGCCAAACATATTTAAATCCTTTGTCCTTCAAACCTTCAGCGGACTTGAATAGGGAGTAAACCTCCTTGGTCAATTCTTCAGAAATATATATAGCCGAGTTTTCTTCTCCCAAACCAGTCTTCCTAATGGTGATTTTCCCTATTTGTGAGCGAGCCTTTAAGATACGTTCCTTGAGGTCTAGAGTAGACAAGGTAATGATTATCTTGGGTCCGTTTTTGGTCTGAACTTGTTTCATATTTTCTATTGCATTATCAGGCACCGGTGTATTCAAATAAGTGAACAGTTTTTTCAGTTTTTCCCCGTCGGCCCTTTCGCCATCCTTTGCCAATCCATCAATACAAATGTTGTTTTTAATTTTCTCATTTTCTTGCACAATTAAAGCAGCTTCCAACTTCTCAACTTTATCCTTCAACGTTTGATTTTCTTTCGAAATTTCACCGACCATATCAGACATGATTTTCGACCTCTTTTTCTCATCCTCATATTTTTCATTGAGGAAGTCCATGGCATTGCGCATGTCCCTCACATCAGTCTGCAATTCCCTTATCATCGATTTCAGCTCGCCAATGCCTTGAGACTGAGACTCCGACGAAGAAATATTGAATATGGTCGAACGCCTAGCAACACGATCTTTCGTACATTCATCGCAATTCCATGGTCGTTTTTCCTGATGCATGAGCCTAGCGTCAACTTCAGAAACCTTCCCACAGTCGAGATAGAAGTACCCGTTGCATCCACCACAGTTCAATTTAAGTTTTTTCCCCATACTTTTGCTGTAGGCTTTACACTCCTTGCTGCCGCCCATGGCTAGCCAAAATAATCTAGGTACTGTTTTCAACAAGTACCGGCAGCAGCGCGAAGGATTTCGTGAGGAATTTGATAATCTGCCGGTGTTTTTGAGGTACAAAGTCCACTTGCAATACGCTCGTTTGGAGGATATTTCAATCCGCACAGTTAAATTTTATATTAAACGATGTTATCTGGACTCACCAGCAAGCTTAGGGGTCTTCTTATATTCTTGAGACTCTTTGGGGTAAATAAACCACAAAAATATAGCTTCAAAACATGAATTTAAAGGATAAGTAAATCATAAACAACGTTATGTATATACTTATCTTATTATGAATTAGGTATTAAGTCTTGTCGAGTGTCTTGTACTTATTGTTTTTGTTATGGATATTAGGTATTATTGTTGTACTTTGTATTTTCATGAATTTCATTTATGTTATGACTTCTGTTCTTTTTAGTTTCAGGTTTATGTGATGAAATTGTCCAGGGAAAATGTATGCTAGAGATTTCGTGGAGACTATTACGTCACATCGAGGTCGATCCAAATGTCAGGAAAGGCCGATCTGTAGTCATATTTCCAACTTGTTTAGTAGTTGTTTGTAACTTGGACTTATTTGTCCTATGGTTAAAACGGGCTCGGTGTAGTGTTCTGATTTACCGCCATAGGTTAGGCATTTTTGATATGTCAAAATTGTCATGGTCTTGTCAGTCAGTTAGGGTTATGTCTTATGTAGTGAAGACCTAAATTATTTTTGAGAAAGAAAAAGGAAATTCAACAACGTTCCCAAGTTTAAATTATAATAATTGTATTCAATGATCTTTTCCTAGTTTTATAAAACCCTACAACTTTAATATTCACAATATAACTACCTACATACTAAATAAAATATAATAATATGAAAAATATAATAATATAAAAAAAAAGAAGGTCAAAGCCCAAAAAATATCGTTAGATGTAAAAAATTTCTTTCAAGCCAGAATCTTCAGGAATGTTCCCAAGTATCATCGAAGCTGCGTTACCACGTTGAATTGCAATACTAATCTGTTGAGTAATGTAACAGCAAGTATTTTTGTTGTTTATTAATTTGACTATTTTATTTATAAGAGATTTTGCTTCTTCTTCCCAGGGGCCCATTGTCTCAACACTGAATGGTACGAAGATTTACCCACTGGCTTCAAGCTCTTCATATTTTTTTGTTTTTTGCATTTCACCACCACGTGCAGCTTCTCCAGATTTTTTGCAGGTTTTTGCCAAATAAGATGCTGCAAAAGTATGCCTGCACGTAGCGTCCCATATCAAAGATTTACCTCTGCACCAAGGAAATAAGGAGAGCCCATCAACACGCTCCCCATCTCCGCGACATAATCCAGGAGGTTCCAGCACTGAGGGAATACCTGCAGATAATAATTGTGTTTTATTGTGATTTTTCATCCTATACCCTACATAGTTTAAGAAACGAGGATCTAAAAAGAGGGTTTACCTCAACATAATTAAAAATTTAAATTTTTGGGGGGGATCGGTCCATTTTAATATGCTTAATACCATATTAAGTTTGCGACCTTGTACTTCCATAGGAATTTTAGTTAGGGGTGGTTTTTAGGGGTAATTTGCGGTTTATGGAGAACGCTGCTCAAAGGGATCGTCCAATAACAAAAAGTTTCAAATGATTGTTGCTGAAGTTTTTTGCTATATAAAACTCCACGACAGCACCCCTTTATCTTCTATAGTTTTTTTTCTGCAGCGTCTTGAATAGTAGAACAATAAATAAAGCCATCGTACCAAATTTCAGCGCTGTGCGACAGTTTTTTTTTTTTTTTGACTTTTTGAAAAATTCCGCGCGATGTGTTCAGGCCAATAAGTCATTGAGTAATTAACGAAAAAAAAAATCCGCTGGGGCATTATGAGAGGAATAAATGGACTGCCGATTGTCGAAAACTCTCACCAAATATTTGGCCCCGTTTAGAAATTACAGTGAATGCAAGAAAGGGGTAGTTTTCGATGCAATTTACAACTTCCTCACACATTAGGCAAGTCCGTGCTCGCTTAATTTTCAAGCAAAAAATTCGAACAAGAAAGGCATTGAAAAGTGCATTATTGCTATAGTGTAACATAAAGAAAAAATATACCTATATCAAACTCGTTAAAAGTGTTTACTTAAAAACTTGTTCTAGATGCAGTCAGTTCATTTTTTGTAATTAGATTTTTTTTTGTGAGAATCTCGCCTAAAATATAAAAAAAAAACTTTCATGGGAAAACACTATTAGGAAGCTTGAACTGCTTGAAGTCTCATAAAATATTTATTTTGTCATTCATTAATCAATATTGAAACGATACACATTTGTTTATTTTATTTATTGGATTCAGATGGATTATCGTAAAGTCAAAAGGGTCGTCGCAGATTTATAGATGTTTCATGTGCAGAGAGTTCTTCAATACAAATTGTTTTTTTAATAAAATACACGCTGCAGAAAAAAGTTTTGTAAATATGTTAAATTTTAGATTTGGTATTGGCTCAATTTCAATAATTATTGTGTGATGATTTAGTGGTTTTGGTTGATATTTTGGGGCGTACGTGGCAATTGTATGTTCTCTGCTCTACAAAAAAAGTATCGGGGTTTTCAAAAAGTCCGTTTGTTTTTTATTACCAAATCAAAACCTATGACAGTGTATAGTTGCCATTTCATGGGTCGAACAAAATGGAGCTCAATGCAATAATAATTATTGTTTTTCTACTGATTCATGCTAAAGAATACATAAATATGGGCAGATTGATACGTTGTTATGAGGGGCTTTTCAGTGACAGCTGAGCTAAATAACTCAATCATAAAGGAACTTTCTATTAAATTCTTGTGGAATAGCCTTCCATTACCGGCGATCGCCAATTCTTCCAAATACGAATTGGGTTTCAGCTTGAATGCTTCAATCGTTTTCTATTATGTTAATATTAGTTGACCTATTATAGCAGGCCAGTTTAATCGCTGAATGCCATTTCTCAGGCAATTCAAGCACTGCGCGGTTGATCATCATCCTTCAACAAGGAACATTCATTCAAAAGAAAGGCTCATAACATCTAAATTAGAATAAGTTATTTTGTCCGCATCCTCATAGATTTATAACCTCCTCGATAGAACCTCTACAAACATATCCTATCTGACAAGTCAGTTTTGTGAGAATACTGGGCCGAGTTCAAAAATAACGCACAGAGTGCGAGTGCGATTTTATGGCTGTGCCTGAATTGACAATAGGCCATTGGGCCCATAGTACCGTCTAGCATTTTTGAACAGCTAGGGCGTCGCACCGGTATCACACTCACACTGGGTGTGTCATTCCTGAACTCGCCCCTGCAGTCGGCCTTCTGGACAGGCGACATTGACAAGAGATACAAATTATCTAAGATCTGGAGATAGATTTCAGCATCTATTAGCTTCCGATAGAAGCAATACTTACATGTGAGAAAAACCACTTATTTAAAATATTATTTCTTTGAATCCTAACTTAAAAAAAAAAACGTTTACTAAATAATAGTGAATGTTGTAACCATGGTAATGCGCTGTAAAGTTTATGGGAACGGGACGCGCCGCAACGAAAAGCGTGCCGAAAGGGTAGGTAGAAGAGATGGGGAACTAAACGACTAGAATAGGGAAGCTGGGCTAGTCCCTTAAGACGCTTGTCTGCCGCTGTTCATTATTCAATTTTTAATTTTATTTTGTATTACGCTGATTCTTCAATCCTATTTGTGATTAGTTTGTCTGTCAAAAGGAGCATTCACAGGTCAGTTGAATAATTGTTATTTTGTTTTTGAGAGATCAATTTATACAAGTATTATTTTTCCATTTTTTTGTATTTTTTGTTTGTTCATAACATTTTTTATAACATGTGCAATGTTCATGTATTTAACAAAAATCGTTCCATGCTGTAAACAACACAGATAAAAAGTAAATTAAAACCTAAAGAAATTATGTGCTGTCTTTTGTGCTGGGATTTAATTTGGGTATTCAGAGCGTTCATTAGGGTCTTTGTTGAATCTACTATCACTTTCCTACCCTGACGAGCGAATATCCTAGCAAACAAATTGAAAAATCAATCTAGGGATATTGGCTCAAAATAGCAACCATAGCTGTGAGTCTACGTAACCAGGGACTGCAGTACCTGCCACAGATTGGCTAACTAACCAAAAATTCTTCAATATTGAGTATCGGTGGTGTTGATTGAATGTGGTGTGTGGAATTAGAATTCTAGCACAAGGACAAAGACGGTACCTAATTCAAACTCTTATTGACTTAAATTATTGAATTGACTCACAATTTTTATTAAAATGACACAGTATGTTTTGATTTTTGAGGAATGTTAGATCGAGGGTCTCTCTGCCGTTCTCTTTCCTTTCGAGAATTCCAGGTGGATACGATTTACTTTAATAATTTACTTCAATAATAAAGTAGACGTTTCACAAATTTTTCATTTATTCAACATATCACAGCTTTCCTTAAATTTCCCAAAAATTTGCTATATCGGGCGCATGTCCAGTAAGTAAAATTCAGTGAGTTTCCACAACGTAGATCCTATTTGTTTTTCATTCTGTTTTTCAGAAGATTTGTTGTTTGAAAGGTAATAAAAATTTTCACCGTTCAATCTTACTCAACGAAATGTTATACTACACTTGTATTCCTCAATAAAAAGTCCCACGTGGATAATAATGTGTTCAATAAAAATCCCCCAAAAACCATCATAAGGAATAATTATTTGATTCACATATCACGGCATTTATAGTTTTTATATTGAAAATTACTAGGTCAGTCTTTCCATTCTCCAATTATTTAGCCAACTAAGTCACAATTTCGTCCCCAATTGCCAGTATATAGAGTTTCCATAGGTTTTTATCCAACATTCGATTAATTTCTCTCCACATTCAAATTCGCCGCTCCGATTCATACAATTCAGTTCTGCGTTTATCAGAAAACAAGCAATAACCACCCCTTTCTGCTATTCGCCAATTGAAATGAGTTCCAATTTCAACT